GAGAGAGAGAGAGAGAGAGAGAGAGAGAGAGAGAGAGAGAGAGAGAGAAAAGAAAGAAAAAGAACGAGGAAGGAAGGAGAAAGAAAGAAACCCTATCTCATAGGGCTGTTGTGTGGATTCAGTGGGGAGAGGCCTGTGATGTTTGGCACCCAGTGGGTCTCCAGCAATGGCAGCTATTATTTAGTTTGCGGGAGCCCAGGTGTCAGGGGAGAGCAGATCTAGGAGTTGAAGGGAGCAATGCAAGTGCTGAACTGTTTGGGGCGAATTCTAATTCTGGGAATGGAAATCCTGACTGAAGGGCACCAGGGACCCACATCCTCAATGCCCAGAGGAGACACATCATGCCCCTTCCCATGCAGGATTAGTCTTGAGGCTCAGCTTCTCTCCAGGCAGAGGGAGGAGAGAAAGCAAAGGGGCCTGCCCACTCTGCTTTCAGGGTGGAGGCACCTCAGGCCCCCTCCACCCTCACCTACTCCTCCCTGCCTGCAGTAATCCCAACTGCAGGAGCCACACCATTATCTGGAGACAGATGTGGGCAGGTGGAGGCGTGAGGACAAAAACAAACGGGGCTGGATGAGGAGCCAGAATAGAGACCGGATTTTGCGGTCATCTTGTCCCATGGGGTGGGAGACTCACCTGCTCCGGGGGCCGGGGCATGCTCTCCAGGCTCTGCAGCCTCCCCTGCACCTCCTGCATGCTCTCCTGTAGTGCTCGAACTGTCTCCAGCAGCCACACGTCCAATTCCTGGGGCCCCAGCAGGCTGCCCCGCAACCCCTCTGAGGAGCACAGATGCACAGGGAAGGGGGCTCAGGAGTCAGTTCAGCTCCGGGCAGGGTGGGGGCAGGCTGGGGCAAGCCCAGGAAAGTGTGGGATCGGAAACCAATCCCTGTACCAAGTGTGATTCTTGCAAAGTCCATCTGTGTAGCTGAGTAATGGGCTGCTGGGGGTTTAATCCCAGCATGGACACTGATGACTTTAGTCATTAACTTTTTTTTTTTTTTTTGAGACAGTCTTGCTTTATCGCCCGTGCTGGAGTGCAGTGGTACGATGATCTCGTTTCACTGCAGCCTCCACCTCCCCGGTTCCAGCCTCAGCCTCCCGAGTAGCTGGGATTACAGGCAAGCACCACCATGCCCGGCTAATTTTGTATTTTTAGTAGAGACGGGGTTTCACCATGTTGGCCAGGCTGGCCTTGAACTCCTGACCTCAGGTGATCTGCCCCCCCTTGGCCTCCCAAAGTGCTCGGATTACAGGCGTGAGCCAGTGCGCCCAGCCAAAGTCATTAATTTCTCTGGGCATCATTTTGTCATCTAAAAATTAGGAGAAGAGGCTGGGTGCAGTGGCTTACACCTGTAATCCCAGCACTTTGGGAGGCCAAGGTGGGCAGATCATGAGGTCAACAGATTGAGACCATCCTGGCCAACATGGTGAAACCCTGTCTCTACTAAAAATACAAAAATTAGCCAGGTGTGGTGACACACACCTATAGTTCCAGCTACCCAGGAGGCTGACACAGGAGAATCACTTGAACCCAGGAGGTGGAGGTTGCAGTGAGCCGAGATCGAGCCACTGCACTCCAGCCTGGCAACAGAGTGAGATTCTCTTAAAAAAAAAAAAAAAAAAAAATTAGAGGAAGATGTCATCTCCCTCACAGGGATGCTTGCTCAGAGGAATAAAGGAGATACTTTTGAAAATGGCCATATGGGACCTGAAACACAACAGGAGTTCTAGAATGGAAGAGGGCAGAACTCACTGTCTTCTGAGATTTTCTAAATAGGGGGTTCCAGAGGCCATGCAGCTGTAGGTGGGAGAGCCGGGCTAGGACTCCCATCCTGCTGGCCTTACTCAGCACCTGCAGAGGGTGCAAACTCCTGGGTGGCCCTAGGGGAGAGGAGGGAGGGTGGGGACTTTGCCCATCCAGGCAGGTATCTGGCAGGTTGGCAGCCCTTCCTGGACAGAGGCTTCTGGCTCAGTGCCCAGCACTGGACTTTCACCTCTGCCCTAGGAAGGCAGCCAAGAGAAGGCCTGGGGCACAGGACCACAGGGAAGGACAGAAGTCGGTGAGGGGTTGGGCAGGAGCTCACCTTTCTCTCTGGGGGGCACGGGGCTGTTTCTCGGGTCATGCTCTCCTCCAGGTACTCCCTGCGGCTCAGCCCAAACCTGCCAAGATGAGTCAGAGGGTGGGAGTGGGCCCACAGTGGGGTGGGAAAGGGGGAAAGGTGACTGGTCTCACCGGCTCAGGCTCCAGCTGCTCCAGCGAATCACAGAAAACCTCAGGGTCCAGGTCCCTGGGTGGATGGGACTCTGAGGAGGGGTTGGTAGAGTTACTGCCCAAAGGGAGGCTGCGCAGGGAGAGTAGGGGCGTTCCCTGGGCCAAGCACCTGTTAGGAGACACTAGAGACACGAGGCACTAGCGATATCGCTGCCAGAAGCAAGGCCCTGGGACAGGATCCTAGAACCCGGTCCCCGCCTTTGGGAGCACAGGAAGTCTCAGTGTCTGTGGAGGGCACAGCATGGCATCCAGCTTTCTCCCCTCCAGCCCTCCCCCAGCCTGGGTTTGGTCCATCCCTCCTGCCCAAGCACTAACCTGGGCTTGGGGGTGCCAGTTCCTTGGGGAGGCAGGGAGACTCTGAAACGGCCCCAGCATCTCCATTCACAGCCTGCTCTTTCCAACCTGCCAAGACACAGCACCCAGATGTGGGGCAGGGGAGAGGCTGGCCCCGCCCAGTGAGATCAAGCCCCTACTCTGCATGAGCCTTGATGCTGCCTGAGGGCTACCTCTTGGGGGCATGGGGGTCCTGACAGGGATGTTGCTGGGAGTCCCCTCTGCCCCCAGCCCACCTGAGCCTAGACCTAAGACGGTTCACTCAGCACTTTCGGAGCTCCCAGCCTGGGAGTCTGACCTGTGACCCTTCTCAGGAAGGTCTCTGGGGGCCTCGGCATGTCAGGGATCACCTGGTACAGGGGCTCGAAGTAACCAAACATGTCCTCTGCCACCTCACCCAGGGGCACTGTGTCGATCACCTGTGAGGGAGGGGTTCTGTTGGGGAGGGAGTGGCCTTCTGTCCCCTCCGCCCTGGTCCTGCCCTGTCACACACCTCCACCCTGCGCCCAGTCAGGGGCCAAAGACAGGCAGGGCAGGAGGTAACATGAAGGTGGTGATTCCCTTGGTGGGGTCCAGGTGTAGGAAGTGTAACAGGGGTCGGAACTGGGAGGGTGAGGGGCAGGCCACCTGGCTGGGAACCTGGGGACAGAGAACCTGCAGCCCCTACCTTCTGTGCCACCAATTTCATTTCAGTGATGTAGGCAGACATGGCCTCTTCCCTGCTCATCTTGCCTAGACTGTTCCAGGCGTCCCTGGGGACAGAGGGCTGTGAGAGGGCTGCTTGACAGCTGAGGCTTGTTTGCCCAGCCAGCGGGGAGCTCACCACTTATATCGTCCAATGGGGTCCCAGAACCCAGGCCGGGGGACCAGGCAGGGCCCCATGGTGGCCTGCTTGTAGTAGCTGTAGAATCGCAGCATCTCTTCGTAGGAGGGGCGGTAAGAACCTGAGCAGAGAGTTGGGAAGCCAGGGCAGAGCATCACTCCCAGCTCTGAGGGGCAGAGGGGCAGGATAACCCCACTTGGAAAGAGCAAAGGTGGGGACGGGTCCCACCCAGGGCATCTGGACTGGGACAGGAAGCGGAGGGGACCCCCAGGACAGCCCAGGCAGGGACTTGTCTGCAAAAACTGCAGAGATCGGGACCATTCTTTCTTCAGAGTCAGACCCCAGCCATCCTGAACTCCCAAATGCGAGTCCCCACAGCCTCACCGTTCTTAGGCAGGTTCTGGATGACACTCACTGCAGCCTGGAACTGTTTCTGGCAGTCAGGCTCTGGGCTTTTGTTCTCGGTGCCCATGCTGCTGCAAGCCCTGGGGCCCTACTTTGGAGCGACTCTGCAAGAAGCAGCCTTCGTATGAAAGGGTCTCCAGCCCACCCCCACCCCCGTCCCCACGCACCATAAGCCAAGAATCCACTTCCCAGAGAGGCAAATTAAGCTCTTCAGAGGCCTGAGAGAGACACCCTGGGAGGTCAGAAGTTGTGGTTGAGGAGACTCCTTTTCCTACCTCAAGGCAGTGTGGTGGGGCCAGGGTCGCCAGGGCCTCGGTGGGTGGAGAGGCAGGTGGCAGGGGCCGCAGTGCCAGATGTGTCCGCCCCCAGATGCGCCTCTAAGTGCACATCTCCAACTCCTGGACAGGCAGAGGAGCAAGAGAGGAGGAGTCAGGGCGGGGCGAACAGTCTCCCACCCGGCCCAGCCCGCGCCCCGCGGCGCCCATTGCCGGGACACCTGGGTCCTCTCTTGCCACCACTCCGCGGCTTCCTACTGACCCGAGGGTTCGGCAGGGCCGGGATGGCGACGCAGAGCGAGGGGGAAAATTTAAGCCAATAAGAGCATGTTTCACATTTGGCTTATCTACCTCAACCATTCAGCGCGGCCCTTTCAAGGTTATGCAAATAGTTTCTCAGAGCCTCACCCAATCAGGCGGGGCTTAATCCACGAGTCGAACTTCCCAGCCTGGGATGGCAAAGGCAAGCGGCAGCCCCACACTGGTGCACACAGTGAAAGGTCGTGGCGTTCTAGCGCCCCCTGGTGGATATCCGCATCTGTTCGCTGATACGCGGGCCTGGCCTATCCGAGGCAACTCACTCAGCTCTTTAGACACTTAGGCACTGGGGATAAAAAGGGTCAAGTCCTGTGGTCAGGCGTTCTGGAGGAGGGACATCACAGCTGAGTTTTGGAGGATGGCCGGGCGCGGTGGCTCACGTCTGTAATCCCAGCACTTTGGGAGGCCAAGGCGGGCGGATCACCTGAGATCGAGAGTTTGAGACCAGCCTGACCAGCATGGAGAAACCCCGTCTCTATTAAAAATACAAAATTAGGGCCGGGCGCGGTAGCTCACGCCTGTAATCCCAGCACTTTGGGAGGCAGAGGCAGGTGGATCACGAGGTCAGGAGTTCAAAACCAGCCTGACCAACATGGCGAAAACACGTCTCTACTAAAAAAGCAAAAATTAGCCGGGAATGGTGGCGCGCACCTGTAATCCTAGCTACTTAGGAGGCTGAGGCAAGAGAATAGCTTGAACCCAAGAGGCGGAGGTTGCAGTGAGCGGAGATGGCGCCATTGCACTCCAGCCTGGGCGACAGCGAGACTCCGTCTCAAGAAAAAAAAAAAAGAAAGAAAGAAAAGAGAGAAAGAGTAAGCAAAATGGAGACTGCAGAATGATGGCTAGAGGCTGGGACGGGTACTGGGGGCGAGTGGGGGCGGGGAATGTACAAAAACAATTAGAATGAATGAGATCCAGTATTCTGTAGCACAATACAGCAATTATAGTTACCAATAATTTATTGTATCTTTAAACTAATTATTTAAAAAACAATTTTTGTAGAGGCAAAATTTAGGTCTCATTATGTTGCCCAGGCTGGTCTTCAACACGTGGCCTCAAGTGATCATCCTACCTCTGCCTCTCAAAGTCTTTGCTGGGATTATAGGCATGAGCCACTGCACCCGGCCAATTTATTGTATATTTAAAAATAGCTGGGTGGGACGTGGTGGCTCAGGCCTGTAGTCCCAACATTTTGGGAGGCCAAAGCAAGAGAATTGCTGTGAGACCAAGAGTTTGAGACTGTGAACTATGATTGTATCACTGCACTCCACCCGGGGCAACCAAGTAATGAGACCTTGTCTCTATTAAATAAACAAACAAACAAATAAATAAAAATAACTAAAAGTGGAATTGGAATGTTCCTAATACAAAGAAATGATAAATGCTTGAGGTGATGGATAACTCAATTACCTTGATCATTACACATTTTATACCTGTATCAAAATATCACATGCATCTCCGTAATTCTCTGCAACTATTAAGTATCCATAACAATTAAAAGAAATGTAGACTTAGCCTATCCAACAACAACAAAAAAAGAGTAAACCAGGAGAATAAGGAAGGTTATTCCTGGAGGAAGGAATGGAAAGGCGAAGATGATAACCAGGAAGAAAATTCAGGACCCCAGAGTGGCGTAGGGACCCAAGCCGGTGTGCAGAATCTCTGGGCCTGGGAGATCTGAGGATGGGGTAGAGCCGGGGCAAGTAGGTGGCAAATCCAGGCCCTGAGCACTAGCATCTCTGTGGTGCCACCCCGCTAGCCGCCACCGAGTGGCGGTGTGCGCCCATCTCTCTGCCGGACCCAGGCCACTGGCTGCAGAAACGCTGCCACCTGGACGTCCCCCACTTCGAGCAGGCACTCTGGTCCGTGCATATAAATAGTTAAGTGCACACCCCACTCGGCCACCAGAACCTGCACGCGGATGCCCATCCACAGGTTGACGTCGCGGACAACTACACCGCGGGAGCTGGGCTGGGGTGCCGGCCTGTCCAAGCCTCGAACCCAGAGCTAGTTGCTGAAGACTCCAGGCGCGGCTCCGTCTCAGGATCCCGTGGTCTGTCAGCTCCGAAACTGTGGCTCTCGGAGGGGGCAGCACCTGGCCTGGCACAGGGAGGGTAATCCTATGACGTCACTGTCAACCTCCCCCACCCACACGCCCATCCCTTCGGGTTCGCGCTGCTACGCGCGGCTCAGCTCTCGGGATTCTGCGGTCGCTCCCGGCCCTGGGTCCCTTCCTAGGTTCTGGCTCGCCTACGGCGCAACCGGGACGCGGAAGGGAAGAAGGAGGGGGTCCTGTGTCCGCCTCGAGTCAGGATCCCCGGGAAGGAGAGGGTGTCTGTGCCAGAGGACGGCCCTCGCTCCCGGTGCCGGCTCCCACCCTCAGCTCCGCAGCATGGGGGCTCTGGTCACCGCCGCGACAGAGATCAGAGGTTTGCTCAGACTAAGGGGAGGCGGACTCAAGGGCGGGGGCGAGCGCTGAGGCTCCTCGTGTCCAGGCCACAGCCTGGCCCCGCCCCCGCCCCTGGCCCCGCCTCTCCGGCCCCGCCCCTCTCCGGCCCCGCCCCCCCCTCCCGCCGCCGCCGCCTCCGACTCCCTCCCGCGCTGCTAAGTTTCTTCGCTCGCCGAGGCGCTCAGAGCCGGGGCCGGGCCGGAGCGGCGCCCTGCTGCCCTGTCCCCGCGCGCAGACCCCGGGCCCGGCCCCGGCCTCTCGCCGAGCCATGCTGTGCGGCCGCTGGAGGCGCTGCCGCCGCCCGCCAGAGGAGCCCCCGGTGGCCGCCCAGGTCGCAGCCCAAGTCGCGGCGCCGGTCGCACTCCAGTCCCCGCCGACTCCCTCCGATGGCGGCACCAAGAGGCCCGGGCTGCGGGCGCTGAAGAAGATGGGTCAGTGATGGGCAGGGGGCTGCGGGGTGGGCGCGGACTGTTCCCAGGGGCAAGGTCTGGGGCGCTCCAGGGAGCCGTTCGTGGACTCCCCAGGCTGCACGGGGCTGGGAGGCTATGGTGAGGGGCGGAGGGCCGGCGCCGTCCAGCCGGGCGTCGCACCTGGGATCACCCAAGGGTCCCGGAGAGCCCGGCGCCCAGGATTGTCTTTGCTTCCCACCAGGGGGCGCTCGTGGGGCGTCTGGAGGGCGAATTCGGTCACCCGCTGATAGGGGTCCCCAGGGATAGTGGGAGAGGGGGGCTTGGGGTGGCCCTCGCCCGCCTACCCAGCAGTATCTAGGGTCTGCCAGGGCGGCTTGGGGTCTTGCGGCCCTTAGGAAGGATGCGAGTTTGCGGCTGGCCTCCGCGGAAGAGGCTGGCCTCTCCAGCAGCCCTCCAACCCGCGGCCCCACAGGGGCGGCCACAGCCACACTGCCCTGGCAGGACTGGTCTAACCAGTGAGAAAGTCCGAAAGCCAAGGCTCTCATCTCAAAATTGGGGAAGTCAATCGTGCAGAAGGAATGTAACTGGCTCACTGGAACGTCACAGGGGCAGCTGGCGCTGGGTGGGTTACACAGGTGGTGTCTTGCAATCTTCCTCGACTTCCTGAGAGAAGGAGGGTGAATCCCTATTTCACAGGTGAGGAAACTGACTCAGAGACGGCAAGGAATTTGACTGTGACCACACAGCCAACAAAGGGCACAGTGTGAGTAGCATCCTAGCAGTGCTCCACCACGTGGCCCCTGGGACCCTCTCTGAGTCCAGGCAAAGTGGGACCCACAGGGTGGTAGAGGGCTTGAATGAGGGGCGCTTGTGAGAGTGTTGTCTGGCAAGTAAAGGACCTCCCCACTGAGGTGCTGCGTTGGAGCTGCTGTTGCTAGTCAGTGATGGAGAGGCCAGGTGTGGAGCTCCAGAGCAAAAGGACAAGGCTGCCAGGCACCCCGTGTGAAACTTGGGGCAGAATTCAGGGTTCCTGATTGCCAGTTTTGCCTTCTTGTTGCCCTCACTCATTCCACCTGAGCGCTATGTCTGGGCGCTGTGCCTGGCACTCTGCTTATTGAGACATAAGACACCGTCTCTGCCTTGCCATCCATTCAACCACGCATGCATTGGACAAGCACTTAAGCAGTGCCCATCGAATGTTACAAGCACTTGTGGAGTGCCTATGGTATGCTCTGCCCTGGGGCTCCTGCCCTTAGATAGCCAAGGTTCCAGCAGGGAGGTCAGACAATGAAACAAAGGAACAGGACCCTGGGGACCGGGGACAGGGGGCAGCACATGAGGGGATAGGGAGCCAGTGAGGGCCCTGGCTGGCCCCAGCTGAGGAAGACCAGAATGGGAGAGGGGAGAGGCTGGGGGTGTGGGGAGCTCCTCCAGGCCCTCCCTGGAGAGTCATGGACTTTATCTGGAAGGCATCAGGAGCCCCAGGAAGGGCTTGGGCAGGGGTGAGTGTGGAGAGTGGGGGGCAGGTTGGATGAAGGCAGGGGAGAAACGGGGAGACTGAAGGAGGGAGGCTGAGGAGTTAGTTGGGCAAGGGGTGGGGACCAGGCTTGGGAGACCCTCAGGATGGACTCCAGAGCTCCGAGGAGATACATTGGGCTGGACTCTGTGATTGGCAGGTGTCATTCTCTGGGCTAAGAAGTGGTGTGGTTTGGGGAGCGGCAGGTGGCCGTGGTGGGGTGAGCTATCACTGGGATGGCTGAGGGCAGCCCTGGGACCCAGCCCCTGCAGGGTCCTCAGTGACACAGAAGGGCTGAGGGGAGCCCGGTGCCCGTCGACTTCTTCATTCCACACATTTGCTGAGCGCCATCAGTGGGCCAGGGCACTGTGCCAAGGGGCTGGGGCTGCAGAGATGAGTAGCACAGAGCTTTGCCCTAGGGGAGCGCACAATTCAGTAGGCAGAGTCACATGCAGACAAATCATTACAGCTGAGCCCGGCCTCGGCACTCATCAGCTGAGTGAGGCTGCACGAGAGCTCTGGGCACCTCACCAAGGTGACACTGTCGGGAGCTATGTAAGTATCAGAACGTCATCTCTGCCACCCTCATTCCCCATCACTGCACTGTCTTGCTGAGTGACTGCAGAGAGAGGAATGTTGAGTCCGAGTCTGTGGGGAATGTCCCTTCCCCAGGTCACAGAAAGCCCAGGGACAGGGTGGAGAAGGAAACCCAGTCTTGGGGCCCAGCCCCTCGGGCCATCAGGGGCCAAGGCCTAGGCCTGTCACCCAGGTAGCCTCCCTGGCCTCGCCCTGCCCCTGCTGTCACCACACCCCTTAGTCTAACAGAGAATAGATTTTATGTCAAATCAGGTGGAGGGACTAGGGCAGGGAGTGGCTCAGAGGGGCCCAAGGACGGAAAAGGCCTTTAGAGCCACACTAGGGAGACCCAGATGAGTGGAGGGAGGAGGAAGGAAACACCCCCATGGTGAGTCGGAGTCCTTTGT